GGTTCAGATTTGCCTTAATCTTACTGAATTTCTGGATCTTCACTGCGACATGGATTCCTGATATTCTATTAGAGAGTTACACCTATTTAACTTGGAACCAGTAAGCAACAAATCAGATTGTTTCTGAAGAATTCCACTACATACGCCAATGTAAGTAGAAGCTGCCAAATTGTCTGGAAGACTGTTTTAAAAATTTGGAAACTATAATTAGGAACATGCTAATGGAAGCTCTGGAAGGTGGCTATTACTACTTTATTTATTTGATTCATATAAGAAAAATATTTTTCTTTCACATGAATACCCTTCTACTAAAGAAAATGAATTGTATTTTCCTTGAATCCTACCTATGAATCATTTGAGATCACTTAAAGAGTTAAAGAGTCCATTTTAAGAAAATATTAACATCTGAGTAGTAAATTGGCATTTTAACTCAAATGGGAAATATAAATGAAATTACCTGACCAGCCTACATTTTAGAGAAAGACCCACTCCAGAAGAGGGAGAAATGAAGGCAGGGAAGCAGGTTTCCAGTCAACCAGAGATCAAAGAATGAAGAAGAAAATTCAGCTGAGAAAGACAATGTTGGGTTTTTTTTAAACAAAAAGAAAGACAAATTAGCATTTTAATTGCTGTATATAACATGTAGTTTAGACACAAAGAACAGACTAACCAGATACAACAGACATACTTAGAACTGCCTTCCAGTTACAAAGTTACACTGAAGTCCTATAAATTCTACCCACAAATAGCAATAGACGTCCCAGTAAAGAATCAGGTGTAGATCAATGTTTAAATAAGTTACTAGTTTTCAGAGACCCAAATAATATTGATTTGACAAGCTTTTGAGCACTTTTAATTATATGAAAACTAATGCAGAACTAGCAGCAGAGGATGGTTTTTCTCTTCAGTGAACTTTAGAACTGGACACTAATCCCATGGATTTACTCTTTTCCTGGTTCCTGAGGTTTCACTGGGTGAGCACTATCTTGGTAAAAGAATTTCCCTCTGATTTTTCCTTAATGGCCACATGCCATACATCTGCAAACACAAACCCAGGTTTTCCCTTTCACCCATACACGCCAAGGAACATAAACAAGGGGTTGAGAATAAATCACCTCTGGTCCCAAGTTAGAAGGGAGCATTTGGGAGCCTCCTATTTGCTGCTGTCTTTAGGTAATCCTCTAACATCCTGGGTTCAGGGTCAGTCTGACCAGAATCCCAAGGGTGTCAAACTCACAGGCCTGCCACGAAGGGCCAGGCTGGAAACACATGCCTGAAGAGGCTGGTGTAAGAAAATTTAAAGAAGGAATCAACAAGTTAAAGAAGGCATGCCTCCGCACCTTAAAAACATGTTCAAATTATAACTTAAAAGAAGGAATATAGGGCTTCCCTGGTGGCGCAGTGGCTGGGAGTCCGCCTGCCGATGCAGGGGACGCGGGTTCGTGCCCCGGTCCCGGAGGATCCTGCATGCCGCGGAGCGGCTGGACCCGTGGGCCATGGCCGCTGGGCCTGTGCGTCCAGAGCCTGTGCTCCGCGACAGGAGAGGCCAGTGAGAGGTCTGCAAACCGCAAAAAAAAAAAGGAATATAAAGCACAGTGGCCCTGACTACACAGATCTTAGCTGCAGGCCGCCAGTGTGAGACCCTCCCCCCCAGACAAGACCTAGACAAAATTCTTTGCTTGACCTGTCTTTCTAAGCTGCCTTCCGGGACTTAACCTTTTGCCTGTCAAGTTTTATGCATCTTCAGGATCCGTCCAGCACTTCCCAGCAGTTTGGGCATTTTCATTTCTTTTCTGCTGGATCCGTAGTGCCTGTGAGTTACCCTCCTGCCTTACTAAATTCCAAGTTATATCTTTCCCCAAAGAGACTGCCATATTGCTATTCATGACGTGGCACATTGCTGGGCCTACTACTCTTGGGATGTGCACAAAGCTCAAAGTTATATATTAAGTACGATCTACTCAAACTGCCCTTTATTTACAACATCAATTACACATTGCTTTGTTTCAACCTGGCCTTTATTCAGGAAGCCACACTAATCTACCAAATCCAATGGGACATGGGGAAAAAGAGATCATTATGATGTATACTACTTGCCACATTCTTCTTGCCTTTTCTCCTCTATCCTCTAGTAGACTGTCTAGCAAATTACTTACTAAATACTAGATAAAGCAGGCAATGATTTTGTAATTTCTCTGTAATGCCTTTTTGTCTTGCCATTTTTAGGAGGCTGTCAATAACTCCAGAAAATGGGGCTTTCTGTGGAAACCTTGACTCATTTATACCTATTGTAATAATAACTGTATTGAATCTTTTTAACCCTCCCATTAGGGTGACATAGATGATAGGCTTATCGGTTGAAGTGTTGATAGAAGAGTATGGGTCAAGTCCTGAACCAAATACATGAGTATAATCTGGGATAGAAATGAAACAGGTTGCAAATACATGTGTAAAAGTGACCATCTCCTTTAGCAATGTACCATACTCATCAAAGAAGAAAAACATATTCCCTTTTCTCTTTATCTTTGCTGTCATGAGAAACCTTCAGTGTGTCCACGAACTTGCTGAACTTGTATTATATGCAGTGTTTTCGGGGAGAGGGTCTTTACATTTCATTAGGTTTTCAAAGGCGTCCATAATTCAAAAAGGTTAATAATCACTGATCTGGAACCACAAAACTTTATATAAACTGCCATTTAAAAAATAATTTCCACTCTTTATGTCACCTGGGGTGTTGGGGAAACTTGAGGCACTAAAGATCACATACCTTGTGGGTATGATCGCTCACCTCGACTGTCTCCTTTTATAGGGCCCCTTTCCTATATCTACTGGGAGAGGAAAAAGATGTTCTTTTCAATATATTAAGACTATCCAATTGTAAATTGGGTTTACATTAGTTTTATACCTCTTGTGAGGCCCGTATGCAGAGAATCTCAAGCTGAATATTAATTGACTACAAGGAATTGTACCCAAGAAAAGTATGGAAATATTTCCATTCTTTTCTTTTTAAATTGGAAAAGTGATAAAACTTTAGTGAATTTGGAGATTAAATATAGAGCAAAGAGATGCAACTAAATGCTCAACAGTGCAGACAGAGGCCTAGGATTTGGAAAGCTTTTCTTCTACCTCTGGAATGGGGCGGTTGTGACAGTTGAGCCTTTGCTGCATTGGGCACCAACAAAGGTTGGGCACCAACAAAGCCAACTTAACAGAGAAAGTTCACCAGTATACAGTAGGGAGCTTAATAAGGTTTTTTAATATAACGATAAATGCAAGGCAATGACCAAATACATTCAATGAAAAGGTTAAAAGAATATTTTTATAGTAAGATAGCCACACTTAATAAGAAAATTTTAAATTTCCAAAAATAACATTCATAACCAGTTTTTATAGTTTCTACTTTTACGGTTGTTTTTTTTTAAATGGCTTTCCTTTGGAGGTGTTGATAAGAAAATTACAGCAATTATTTCAACAACTACCCAGTAACTGTATTTTTGTGTTAAGTTACAGAAATTAGGCAAATTAGAAAACATGGGTTCAAATAGCCAACATACACATTCTTTTGGGAATAAGTCTAGGGGTGCTCTTGACAGAGAAATGGCCAAGATAATTTGACATTTTCATTTTCAAATTCCTATCTGTAATTTATAGAATAGAAGCTAAACATGCAGACCAGTTAAGAGTGTAAATTTGAACTGCCTCAACGTTCTGGGCGGAGAGGTGATGGTCCCATTTTACCTTCTGGGTAATTATAGTGCTCGGGACTGTTCTCCCTCAATCTGAAGCCCTCCTTGTTTGTTATTCAGCAGTCACGGCCTTGTTTTTCCCAGGCAAATAGACCAACAGCCTGTTTTCTTCTGTTGCTGGAAGCTGAGCTATGAGACAAATTCAGAAGAACCTGGAGCTACTTACAGAAGGTTTGGGAGCAGGTGACTTGTTTCCATCTGGGGTTTTGGTTAGCCATTCATTGATGCGGCTGGAGACCCCCACCTTTAAGCCAGCTGTTTCCTACAAAAGGCCAAGCATCTAATATTAAAGAAAAAAAAACCTACCTGGAAAGAAAATTTCAAAGCAACCTCAAAATATTATCCAGTATTATTTCACATAACACTGATCAATTATTGATCATTATATTGAATATTTTGACAAAAATAAACCTTAAACCTGATATTTAAAGAGTATGTTATCTGGTGTTCTTCCCCCTGCACTTCTCCTACCCCCAACCCCAAGGTCAGTGATTAACTCTGGATGCCGTATTTAGAGGCCTGTGGCCAGAACACAGTGCACAGTCTATTAGCCTCAGGAACACATTCTTCCTGAGCTTGCTTTTTGGTCATTGCAAAAGTAAGTAAGAATTATAGCTTTTTCACTGCTTTTGTAATTGACTAAGTGATTCCTAAAAAAAAAAAAAAAAAGAAAAAGAAAAGAGAAAAACCCAACCTCCAAAATTAAAAGACGGCAATCCTCTGCTCACCTTATTTGGCGTGCCTGATGCAGTGGGTGATGAGAACACATTGCCTTTCTCCCACATGCTCTTGATGTTGCGGACACCTTCGGCAGGAACAGGAAGGTCCGAGGCTGCTGGCTTCGTAGGTTTTGCAGTTTTTGTTCCCTGAAGTATGTGAATTACTTTTAGGATTGGTGCTGGTAAGTTTGCGCTCGTCAAACTATAGTAAGCTTGTCTTCTCCAACACTATCACTTAACAAATTCACTGTGTGAATGCCTTCACCAAGGATGAGAGTCATAATTTCTGTTGTGAAAGTACATTCTGATGACATCTCTACCTCCAAATAAACCATTACATCTACTTCAGAGGATCTTTCGAAAGTGAAATATGCTCTTCATTGGGAGTCACTCCATTCCTTCCTTCCTACGGTGATATGCTACTTCGTTGCTACAACAGACACTGCCTGAGTGCCTGCTGTGTGCAGGGCACTGTGCTAGGCTCGGGGACGCGGGGGTACGCAAGACAGTCCACTCTGTAAGCCGCAGTGGACTGACATTAATAGGAGAGACAGTAATTAGTTATACACTATTACAGTTGCAATATACATATTGCAGTGAGTGCTGTGAAAGATGAGTGTGGTGCCGTAAGCACGCCAAGAGAGCACATGATAGGACAATGGTACTTAGTTTAGGGGGGCAAAGAAGGCTACTCTGAGGATGTGACATTCAGACCCAGATCTGATGGAAGACTTGAAAGAGGCTGGTGAACGAAGGAGAAAACACCGATCCACACAGAGCTAACAGTACATGCCAAGGACCAGAGATGGGGGTGTGCTAAAAGACTGAAAGACTGAGAGACCACTGCATGGAGACTGGAAGGAGGAACGAACGGGTGTAAAAAGAAAGGTGTGCATTCAAGATACTTTTCCAGCAGTAGTGATGGGCGTACCCCAAATCATGCAGCTTCTCTCCTGGTCCTGCTTTGGGGCCTGTGGCATGTGTCATCAAGGTGGGCAGCCCGGGTGAGTGGCACCATTGCTGGACTATGTGAAGCCTGAAGCCACAGTTTTGGCTTCATTAACCCTGTTAGAGCTGTGATCAATTCAACCACAGAAAATAACTATCTGCAATTTGTCTTATAATTTAGTGGCCATTTAATCTTCTGAAAATCTCCTCTTGAATGTTAAGACTTGATTATTCACTTGATAAATCATCCAGACCTCTCTCTTTCTTATTCCCTCTTATCATTTGTTATGAACTATTTTATAGGTATCTCCACTCTGCAGTACAAAGGAGAGGAGATATCAAATCAAACTGATCCAATTTCATCATAGCAGGCAACTAAAACCACTGACTAAAGTCTACACAAAGGAGAAAAAAACCAGGATCACATCTTGATCAATGGCACTCTACCCTCTTAGTGTTTTGTACTTGGAAATATAGTACATTATTTCTGAATAGAGTAACACCCCTAGGTCAACTGGGTGGAAAAAATGTTGGATTAGACAGAAGCATAAAACTATGATCCTTCATATATAAAACAATTTGAAATTCATTAAATTCCAGCTGGCTATCATCTTTATATTAATTTATACTACCAATTTATTTGATAATAAAAGTTCTTATAGATAAAAGAGGACTAATCATGGTTGTAAGGGGCCTGTTTAAAACTATATATGGGAACACCTTTTATAAGGAATTAAGAATATTGAAGATATACTTGTGAACACATAAATAATATATTTAGATAACAATAAACTCATTCATTAAAAAAAGTAACACCTTCAGTAAAGAATACAGGTGGAAAGTAATAAACAATAATTTATTTAAAACTCTTCTATAATGTGTCTTTATTATTGTTTTCTCTCTAACTAGTTATAAAACATCATTAACATTCTAACACCAGTGGACTTGATTATTGTCCTAAGTGTTTCTATGATTATTTATATAATCAGAGTTGATTTGTTTGACCATAACTCTGAGGACATCTCTCACCTCAATTGCACTGGTGTATTGCTCCAGTCTGCTGTCAATCTTGGAGACTACTGCTGCTTGGTGAGTTGATTTAACACCACTGCTAAGTAAATAAACACACACATACATACACAAAAATGAGAGAATTTTTCCATACATATAATGGCTGATGATTCTCAATTCAACAATCAACCATATTACCTTTTCTGCACAGATTTATTCAAAAATTCTGCTCGCTCTTCTATCTAGGAATTGGAAAAAAATAAAACCAGTTAATATTTTCAGAGTGTCAAAGAGTATGAGGGTGCTGTGCACAGCACCTCTGCTAGAGAGGAAAACTACGTACAAGGTATTTGATAACGGGGTTTGGGAGACGAAGGTAGGACTGGCAGAAGATAGAGAAATATGAAGTTCTGGAGACAAAGTGGAATTAAAATGCCTCTGAAATAATATAAATCAAGGGCAAAATAATTACATTTCAAGACTAAAACAATTTTTTTTTGCTTTCTGATGTACTTTAAATTTTTTTCCATTATTTTTTATTGAGGTATAAATGACATATTACATTACATTAGTTTTAGGTATACAACATAACAATTTGATATTTATATATATAAGAAAGATAACCAGGAACTGTAAACTATTCACTTACTGCTTAGCCTGATTTTCTAATTTGATAGCTGTCAAACCTATTGCTGAACTTAATTTGCCCTGAATATAGGAGATGGGCGTGGGGATGAGTGAAACTGGGGCACAGCTCATCAGGAATGCTGAGGCCTCTCATGAAGGCCCTATTAGTCCAAGTGGGAAATAAGGAAATAAGCCCAGAGAAACCGCTATGGATATACACCGATGGGCAGTTTAGTCATTTTTAATAAATTCTTTTTTTAAAAGCCAGAAATTTTGCTACAACTAAAGCTGCTAAATCAAACATTATATTTTACTGAAACTGCATCACTCAAATCCAGATGTTCTTTATAAGTCAGCAAATATCTGTTGACTCCTCATGATACCCAACTCCAGGCTAGAAATATCCTCTGCCACGCATCACCTATCATCAGCAAATAGTAAAAGCTTCTTTGCATATGACTGTATGTGCAAAGCACACAGGTCCATTTTCTGCCCTGTTCAGGGCAGCCAAGGAATCTACTAGGCTACAGTTACCCTAGGCTGGTGTGGTTGACCGTCCCCTAAAATCTTTAAGATGTCATGGCTTTTTCTGGACTGTTGGCCTGGGGCTCATGGATTATTAATAAATACCCTTAAGCTTTTTGGAAAACATGTTTCACTCCTAATATCAGTCGAATAATACTTTTAAAGATGTTAGTTAGGGCACTTCATCCTTTCCAATGATTTCTTACAAAGATAAAATCAAACTCATTAAACATAAAACTTTATGCAAAAGAATGCTATAGGTATCCCTGAGTTTATGAGATGTAAAGGGTCTTAAATCTTATTTTTCTGATTTTAACATAAACTTAGAAGTGCATTTCTGGAGAAAAAGTTCCCAGTTGAATGAGGTAAAACACATTAGAACCACACAATACACTGGCACTTTTAATATTATTCACCCATCTATCCATCTTGATTTAACCCTGCCAACCTGTCAGTCAAACAACCAACCAACCAATAAATTATATGTGAGTACCTATTATATAAAGTTGAACACCCAACGATGTATAAGACAGGGTTCTAATTCTTTAAGGAGTCAGTAGGGGAGACTAGTAGAACACATAAATGAAAAATTTTAAATTCAGTGGTAGGTACCATATTAAAGATAAGAAAATGGGGGAGTTCGAGAAGGCTTTCCAGATGTTCTGGTATTTGAGCTGAGATTTGTAGTTTATAGTTTACACAGCTTTATAAATGAGTTCATGAAAGTGAGGGTGGGAGTGCATGAGTTAGAGGGGAGAGGACATTTCTAGCAGAGCAAACACATACACAAAGATTTGGGGAACCAAGAGGCATGTAGAGTGGTGGGACTGAATAATGGAGAACCGTTCAGCGTGGGGGAAGGCCAGTGGAGAGGGGAGGCAGAGATGAGACTTGTTCTTTGTAGCACCTCTAGCATCGTTCTGACTCGGGGATCATCTTCTTAACCTTGGCCATCACATTTATTCACATTACAGAGGCTCTCAGACTCTACCTTCTCCTTTTGTATCTACAATATTCAATACAGCTTGACTTCATTATCACATTTTATCAGGATTTACCATCCATTACTGATGTACTCTTGTTGGAAAATTCTTGCCCTTAGTGACTCTGGGTAATGTAACAATTTGTACTAAATTTGTAAATTAAATCTCCTGCATACGGAGTTTAAAGGGGGAAATTGGTTCTTCTGAAGACCAAGAGGTGGCAGTGTTGTCCCTATAAAACTCAGCGGAAAACCCCACACATTTCAGAAAACTGGCGCTCTCCTTACTCCACACTCCAGTATATGAAAACAATAACAATAAAAACAAAATTCTGAATTTAATTTACTTAAAACTTATTCTTTGCATGTCTTATGTAAGAAAAATCATTCACTGCTAGCATAATTTAACTATGAGAAACCAGGTTCTGAGCTTCTCAGACAAGGAATGTTAAGTCATGAGAAATTAACAAAATACACCAGTTGATAATATCTTGAGGTCAAATATCAAATGTTTCTCATCCCACTGGCACTTGACAATGTTAGCTTGTGACCATTTATAAAAGTTGCAGGGCCAAGAGTATCAATAGTTGCAGGAATTCAACTGAAGGACATGAAATTAAGTTCTAAAACAAGAGCCACAGCAGGTTCTTCAAGGCACATACTATGGAGAAAAGCACTAGACTGTCTGTTCTTGAAAGCATGTCTCTGTTACACAGAAATTAAAAATGTGTTTTTTCTGTTTTACATATCAACTTTGATTGCTCACACGTGCCTCTCTACCAGAGTGAGTAGCCAAATGGCTTTCTGGGAACCCAGGAGTCTGGTTGATGGAAACACTAGAGAAGTTAAGTTGGAAACTAGGTAGAGAGATGTTTGGAGGAGGATGGGTTGCAGTTTCTTCGGGAAAAAAAAGAGTACAAATTCGAAGTCTAGATGACCTACTACTTTCCTCATGTTCCCAAGACAGTTCAAGGAAAGCTTAGCTTGAGTGGCATTTGAAGGAAGGTTGAAAGAGAGAGAACATGGTTTTCTTTAATTATTGATGAGCCAGGAATAAAAGGACCCAGACTGAGGAGGGACCTGGTGCCTGCACAGAGATGGTCTGAACTGAGCAGGGTTTGCCTTTCAGCTCTTTCTCCAACAGTAGGCGTATGCAAACTATGGCCCATTTGCCCATGTCCTCCACCCACCCAAAAGCTAAGAACATTTTCCATTGTTAAATGGTTGGAAAAAAATGAAAAGAATATTTTGTGACATAGGAAGATTTTACGAAATTCAAATTTCAGATCCATACATGAGGCTCACCTACTCAACAAAGCCTCTCTCTCCTCCTTGTGCCCCACTTAGAGACCTCACTGAGCTGGTAGTCTGCACTTCATTACCTCTGTAATTCTTGAATTCTCCTGAGGCAGTCAATTATATTAGTGCCCTAGGGGCAGTGACCTCGCTTTGTGTTTCTCGCCTTCATAGCACATAGCGCACATTAGATTTGTTATAAATATCAAACATTAAATAAGAAAATGCCCCTGTGGTTTAGTTTGGATTCCCCCTGAAGCCGCTCTTAAGACGAGGGTTCAAGTATAAGGAGTTTATTTGGGAGGAGTTAGAACTATGGTGGACTGGGACCCAGACCATTCTAAAGACTAAGTGAAGATATCTAAGTATAAAACATACTGTTTTTCATGTGAAACAGGTAATAACTGTAAAACATAAGTAACTGGCTTTTGATCATTTTAGTGTGGACATTAGACCTCACACACAATGACAGATACACACATGCACACATTAACCAGCTGGAGCCTGGCTATGATTCTATACTGGCTTTACCTGTTGTCAGTGCTTTGTAACCTAGCTAGGTTGATGGAAAATGAGGATAAAATAAAAACTGCTCAAAGTTCCAATCCCTGAAGATTCATTCATTCATACATTCATTCAATAAATACTTGTTGAGTATTTTCACTGTGTCAGGTACTCAAAACATGCTAACTGTATAAGCAAAAACGTGTTTTTGAGTCTGCGTTCTTGTTCCTCCGTGGCACCATCCCATCATCTCCCTGAGTTGGCTCCTTCCTGCTCATTCTCTTTTCTTTCAGCAGCACTTCCAAGTCACTAGGAATTGTGCTCTATGAAGGCAGTAGTCAGACCAAACTCATCCTGGCAAAGGAGCCTATCAGAGTCACATTTTATCTCCTCCCATGATAACAGCTTTAAAATTTGACATGTAACAATTCCAGCTGTGCTGCTTTTAATAATGACAAAGGAAAAAAATGAACATTAGCATGAAAAGCAGCTTAAACCTTTAAAATATATTTGCCCACTTCATAAAGTTTAAATGTTTCCATTTTTATTTGCTCAAAGTAATAAGGCATGTGGAGGGCATGGGAAAGAGTGTTTTTTGAGATGCAGGCTGACCTGGGAGTCAGAAGAAATAACACTGTAAGTGGAGAGATTTTAGGGTGCTGCTTCCAGGGCACCCACTAAACACACACCGTCAAATCACCACGGAGAGGGGCCGCTCCCGTCCACTGGGCAGGTTTGCATCTCGGGAAGTAGATGTTACCAAAAAGAAAAAAAGAAAAAAAAAAAAGATTTTCCTTGGAGATGGAAGCTTTCAGGTTCATGGCACCAGCTGCTCAGGGGAGCCAGAGTCTGGCTTCATCTCAGGAAAACTCTGACTTCTTTTGCACAAGCAAACCTAAGGCAGTCCTACAGAAAGCGGGTCACCGAGGCCCAGAAAGGCGGGGACCAGTGCTGGGGATTTTTGCGGTGCGCGGGTCTCTCACTGCCGTGGCCTCTCCTGTTGCAGAGCACAGGCTCCGGACGCGCAGGCTCAGCAGCCATGGCTCACGGGCCCAGCCGCTCCGCGGCATGGGGGATCTTCCCGGACCGGGGCACGAACCCGCGTCCCCTGCACCGGCAGGCGGACCCTCAACCACTGTGCCACCAGGGAAGCCCACCAAAGGTCTTTTTAATGTATACCAAAGATCTAATAAACAACAGACAAAAATTTCTCCACTTTATTTCTCTCCTTTCCATATCTTGAAAACAAAAAGAAGCTGTGAAATTGCTGAAAGAAGGAGCAAAAAGATAAATGAAGCAAAACTTCGAATAATCAATAACTAAACCAGGGGCTAAAATCAAATTTCTATTATATTTTAATAGGCATATTATAAGAAGGTTTTCTGGGGAAAAAGTACCTTGAGAGATGAACCTTTAGGAGTGAAACACTTGAAGGGCTTCTTGTCGTCTGATAAGCCATCTTCTGGCATCTTTTGGCGTTTCTCAGCAGCTTCTGCCCTTCGCCTTTCAATCTCTTCCTTTAGCCTCCTCTTCTCTTCCTAAGAGAGAAAGAACAAATAACAAGGACGTCAATATCAG